TATATATAATATATATATATATATATATATATATATATATATATATAAAATATAAAATGTTTCAATAAAACGAAGTATGATTTAATCCTTCAAAATATTGCTAATCTTTTTATAGGAAAAATAAAAATAAAAATTTTATAATTTACAATTTAATATAAATAATTTTCTTAATATATACTAAAAATCAAGCGATTCTAAAGTCTTTCGTCAAAGGGAAAACGTTTCCTAATCGGTGGGTCTATCAACTTGCAACTCTATATGATGTATATTACGAATAATATTATATATTCTCATTCCTTTTACATTATTTGCACTTATAGTATTGTTGAACAAAAAATAGTAAAATTAATTGATTGATAATTATCATAATTACTGCAAAAATCACGTAATTGTTAACACGATGATATAAAAAAAAAGATTCTCTCTTGTTCACGCGCATGCGCGCACAAATTCTCTCTCTCTCTCTCTCATCGATTATCTTAATTTCTACATTACATCGACTTTTCATAAAAATATCTTCTTTTTCCTCATCGTACACGATGTATGGCAAGAATTTTTGACTTGTAGTCAAATTTCTACCCTAGAGTTTCCATGGAAAATTAGTATTCTTCCCATACACTTTTGTTTGTGCTATAAAGAGCATATAATATCTATTGTATAGTGACTATTCTTATATTATTATTTTGAAAAAAGCATTTTTCTTCCTAAAAGATACGCTTTAGCATTTCACCGGGTTGCTTCTACGTTACATTTATAAAATGTCCAATTACAATCAATAAAGTAAATTCTTTTCGAAACTGCTATGTGTTTGAATGAAATACATAATTTTTGTATACAAATATTTGTAATATGTAACTCGCATAAACTTGATGTTTGATAACCTTTTATCTTTGTATAATCGTACAGATTGACTATAAAGGACTAGATTCATGTTTTATAAGTTATGTTTCATAAAAAAGAATAAAAGGAATAATTCTGGTAAGAATGATCTTTATAAAATCTCATTTTTTTTTTTAAGAAAACAAAGCATTGTAAAAGGAGAATAATAGATCTAGTTGAGTTTCGAAGAATATTGATTATAATTGGACATTTGCATACTTGCACAAAATATTACTACATCTCTTGACGAATAACATTTCTGTGGTGAGGACGTTACTGGCAATATGAAAATTACAGAAGAAATATAACAAATAGTCAAGTCGAATAAGTCAAGACTTGAAAAAGGAATAGCATCACTCTTCCCCCATCCCCCTCTCCCTAATCCCTTTTTTCCCGCATTATATTGACAAGACGAGAGGAAGTTTTGAAGCATGTAATAGTGCAAATATTTTTATATAAAATTCACTCCATCCAAATCATGAATCAGTCTCAGAGCTAGTCGTCGTCGTCGTCGTCGTTGTCGTCGATGACAACATCGATGACAACGACGATAGTGACAATTAGCGTCTTGATGTTACCTCTTAACCGAGGTCTTCTCCTCGTCTCAGAAATCTTTAACGTGTCCTAGAAAGCTAAGCTCGTGCGACTGATAATGACCAGATGTAGCGAGTGGTGTAACGCTCGATTGATGCGCTACATTTACCGCTGCTAGATGATGATGATGTAGCGAATGATGCGACGTATGAGTATGAAGAATATTATTTGGATGGGGAACTTGAAAGTTCCCTGGTGGCGGGGCTCAGGACAGGAGAGGACCCGGATGCCCACCCGGAAGAACAGATGACGCCGAGACGGTTGTAGTTTGCATACTCGAAACATTGTTCTGTTGTTGATTCTGTTGTGTGCCTATGAACAAAAATTATATTTACAATATGATTGACAAATCATATTGACGATACGAGAAAAAGAGTAAAGAAGAGATGTAAACGATAATATTGTGCGTCGATATTATGCATATATATTACACATCTTACCAGCGTTTTGACTTAATTCAGCCTTGACCCTTCTCGCGATATGACTTCTAGTGTGTTTCCGTAAATGATCTTTCCGATAAAATCCTTTGCCGCATTCGGTGCAAACGTGTCGTTTTTCCCCAGAATGTATTACAAAATGCAAAGTCAATTGTTCCTTTCGTTTAAAGGCTTTTAAGCAAACGGTGCAAACGTAAGGTCGCTCAGGATTGTGACTTTGTTTATGACGAGTAAGATGGTCCTTTCGTTTCAAGCCAGCACCACATATGTCGCAAACAAATCTCCGTTCTAAAGTATGTCCTAAAAGATGCTGCTCTAACAATTCTCGTTCTGGATACGCCATATGACATTCCGGACAACAATATAATGTCGAACCATCCAATGCTGTCGTTAAACGAATTTCACCAGGTTTCGGACGTGGTTTCTTTTCTTTCGGCGTCTTCTTCTTTTTCTTCTTTTTGTTATTCGGCGACATCATTATATTGGGTGTTGTCGTAGTTGCCACAGCCACCGAGGTCGTTTGCGCCATCTCCGACTCTTTTTTGATACTTTCAGCAGAATATTTAAGAAAATGATGTAAACTTAGCGGCAAAGTACTAGCTGGTAAGTGGCTAAGATAATCAGCTACAGTGGAACCGGGAGTCGCGAGTGATTGCCACGTAGCGGGCATAGTAGCTGGTGTTTGAGTATGAGCGTGCTGTTGATGATGTTGGTGCATCGCGGTATAATCCTGTTGGCTGCCGTTCGTAGTAGTCTCTCCGTTGCGTTGCTGTTCCTCGGTCTTCTTCTCTTTGTTTTTGTCCTTGTCTTGAAGGAGATTGCAAACATCTTGTTGATTTATGGTTTCTGTGGATTGCTGCGACAGAATACACATTTAAAATCTCAAAGTTCCGTCACTCTTGTAGCATGACAAACAAATAATCAGTTGAATACGTGATATTGTTCATTCAGTGACGTTATTCTTTTTATTCTATTCTTTTCTATTCTATGTCTAATGATTTCGATATAAAAATTTGCACAGCTTTATCTGACGAGAAAAAAGAATGATGAAGATGTTGTCATAGCTTATTTTTATAGAAAATGCCAAAGAATGGGAAATATCCTATATAGAAACGAGAGTAGAGAGAGAGGGGGGAGAGGGGGGGGAGAGAGAGAGAGAAGAG